CTCGGTACTAAAATTGGTAACGGTTAGTTCGACCTCTCTCGTAAAAAGTAAGAACTATGTAAATGGCCAATAACCTCGACGTATTCTACCAATTTTCGACAGAATACTTTCTTCTAATGCGTACCCTCCCATACATTTGCAGGGTTTAAAGGTAGAAGGGTTAAAAATTCCACGTCTACATAATTTTAGCTCAACTTGGTAGACATCAACAAATCACTTCAAACAGTATACCAAGTGCCAGCAAGACACCCCAAATTCCTGTTTCACCTAACACTTGCGACGGCAGAGGCCATGCGTTTAACCAACCCGTCCGTGAATTCGCAGAAGACTTCCGTTCAAGCCCTCAAATTACTCTGGCACAAGTTGAAACCTATCGCGTTGCGTCATAAAGAAACACAAACAGTCCACTGGAATTCTTCCCTTCCCCTTAACCCTGTCAAAACTGGACCGTAATGCCCTTCTTGCTCGTTTAAATCTGCCCACTTCACTACCCCACCATTAATGTTCATTGGTTGTCTTTTTAGTTTTGCTGCTCTACTAACACCCAAAGTATTTTAGTGCATTGATGAGGAGTATTAACTTGACAACCTCTATCTGTTCACTAAGTCTGACACACAAACGCCAAAAAAGTAATTTAAAGTGTTTGATGGATTGACTCAAATGGCGCAAGTCATTATTTTAACCTCAAGTATGGGTAATAAAAGGGGTGAAGGCTAACCGCCATCACTCAAAATTTAAAATAAATAATAGCTACTTTGATTGAAGAGCCTATATCACATATAAACTGAATTCAGAAAGCACAAGAAGATAACCTACCAAAAGCATTCGGACGGGGATGAGATAAATAAGCACCATTCGTTTGTTTCGTTTGCTGGAAGACAGGCATCGTTCAAAGGCGAAAGTCAGGGCCGTGTTGGCTGCAACAAAACACAGAGTAAGGAAACGCATGTCACTATTCAAGGCAATACACTATTGCTCTGAACCCATGAATTTCCCGTGAGGGACATTCAAGGCTTCATTAGAATTGCCTAGTAACAAGCGAAGGAAAAGATAACGGAAAGATATCAGGGTACTAGTTAGGAAAATGCGAAACTCACCTAATTGAAATTCTCCATCAAACATGGCTTTCCTTCCGACATAATAGTTGAAAGTAACCCGCTGAGCGAGGCTGAAATGTGAATCCATGTTCATGTTTTCAATTGCCCTGATTATTGATTTGCAGAGATTCAGCTTATTTATCTATTGAGATAGCAGGAAGGTTTGGGCAAATATGTCGATGTTACCTGAAAATAGATCTTGAAAAGTTGATTTGCAAGACCCATCATGCCCCTCTTCTTAGAGTCTTCGATGGCCGTCCGGCTTTTAAGATAAAATATAAAGTGGTTATTACACAATGACACATTAATTATACTTCATAAGTGTTAATGCTAAACTTGATTTGAAGAAATAGTTAAATGATAAAGATTCAGTGATGGGAAGATTTGGAAAAAACTTTCTAGCCAATGTACATCGTGAACAGATTCGATCATTTCATGCAAACGGTTTTCAAAACTGAGACATTTAATTGCCTGAACGTATATCTAAGTAGCTCTCGGAGCACTCACTTTTGCACGTAGATCACTCCTTAAGGGCGACGGTATGTCACGTAGTAAAAAGTGATAACAACAGTTGACACGATCATAGATTATGCTAACAGAGTAAGTTCGAGAAAAAACACCATTAATTAACGTATAAATAACTCTATTAAAATAAGTACAATAGGACTAAAATTAACAGACAAGGGATAATATACAAGCATACAGAATCATTACCTATCTGCAGCACAAATTTGAAACAATTTCATGATAAGTTGGGCCACACGTTCCATATGTCCACCGTAGGTGGACTTCGGTTCTACCTTGCCCGTTGTTGATGTATCGAGGGCAGTTGCAAATGTTCGAAGGTCGACAGCAGAAGTCAATACAACTGGAAGCATCCAGTTCTCCTCCTTTACCTCAGCAAATATCTTTGCAATAGCCGTAGCAAAAACGTTAAGGAATAATGCTACATGATTATACGCAAGTACTTGAAAGTTTGAGTGACATATTCTGGTAGGTCGACGAACTATTTGGATGGACACTCATCACATAAAACAAGCCACTTTCGATAGAAATAAGAAAAAAATATTTTTAAGTTTTCATAAATTATTGTGTGACGCTGTATGTTAAGCAAAATAACTAAGGATGTTCTAGACAGGCGATTGTGATATTTTAGAGGCTAACATGTGGTAAAATCAGAGCCACAAAGAATCTTGGATTCACGAACTTCAGCGCACAGGGTCAGAAAGCCACTTTCCCGACAATTTCTGATAACTCAGCTGGTGATCTGGATAGAAGCAGCATTTGACCATTGTGTCACGGAGAGGAACCCAAGTAAGTAAATCCTGATGTGGTTCATTACCCTCAGCTTCAGTGTATGGTATCCAAATTACAATCTGTGAGGTCGTTATCAGTTTTGTGAAGAAAAAATATAGTTCAAAGATGCAAGTTTGGCCCTTTACAAAAAAGTTTATATGTTGAGGAGACCTGTTGGGTTTTCGAATATCCAACTGAATTAGGAAGAAACATGAGTTCATAGAACAAAAACCTCCAAAGCAAAATCCTACGTCCCCTACCAGAAAAACAGCGACAAATAAATGAAATTTGCGAGAGTTTAAAACTATTTCTTACGGCAAAATTGCCGAAAATAACTTTAATATATGTGTATCAGACATAGTAGTTACGATGGCTGCAAAGAAGGGGTTTACACGGATCCGTTCCCTACCCTCTATTGATGAAACATGAAACATGATTAGTAGCTGAATAAACGGTTAATTTAAATGCCTATGTATCGGCTCGAACGGATAGTTCAACTAACAGAATGTATCAACTACAAGGCAAATAAACTGCAGGCACATGCACTATCAATGGCTCGCCACACGTAACGCTTTATTTTGGCGCGTAGGAGGGAGAATTTCATGGAAATCGATTATACGCATGCCTTGAAGTAGATAATAAGTCTCACAATGCCTCATAAGCGGACAAAAGCAAAGGATATTTCACAAGAATCACTTGACAAGCGCATGCCTCCTCGAAGTCTTTCTTACAGAGAGCCCACAAACACCTATAAGTGGAGAGATAAGGAGAAGTAAGGCTGATTTACCTCAAATGTGCAGAAACAATCTCATCCCATGGGGGCAGAACAACACCCATTACTGCATTTTCCGGCTCCGGAACCCGCAAATGTGAACTTGAAGCGTGTCGATCGGAACAATTCATCAAATTCTGACATAAGACTCTAATATCTTACCGCTAGATCTCTCCCATTGCATAAACTTATAAATCGGGAAACCTACATTTAAAGTATGAAAAATGCTACAACAAACCTCCTTAAGGTAAAACTGAAGGCTGA